GATTCCATAGATTGCCGTCTTATAATACCTATACACAAGAATGTGTACGATGTAAAATTACTAAAAAAATATTTTTTTCTGCCACACCAGGCAACTGGAAAAAATGGACACCTTTTTTTAGTGGATCAAATTAAATTTGGTGTGTTTATTTATGACCCGGATGTGCATTATATGAAGTATTCAATTATTTATTATCACTTCCGGTTTGAACGGAAGTGACCGTAATTTTCTTATTTTCAATGAGACGCCAGGTATATTTTCCCTTATTTTAATAGAAAACTACATTACGAGTACAATGACACCTCATTTGTCACTTTTTGACATTTCATCTTAACATTATTTAAATTTTTTCTTTTTAATTTAGAGCGCCATGAATTAGTTAAAATGCTTAATTTTGCTCTAAGGAACCTGGGAAAATTTGTTTTGATCTTATTTTGTATTTTATATCCTCTACAGACTCATTAAAAGATAGTAGAAGTGCATTTTTGTAATTATCTCAATTTTTTCAAATGCAAAGGGTGTGGCTCATTACAATATTCCAAAAGAGCGTTTTCTAACGATTCGTTGTTCGTTAGAAAATGCTCTCTCAGAATATGCTAATGAGCCATACCCTTTCCATTTGAAAAAATTGATATAATTCCAAAAATGCCCTTCTACTATCTTTAAATCAGTCTCTTGAGAATATAAAATACAAAATAAAATAAGATCAAAACAAATTTTCCCAGGTTCCTTGGAGCAAAATTAAGCATTTCAACTAATTCATAGCACTCTAGATTAAAAAGTAAAAATTTAAATAATTTGGAGATGAAATGTCAAAAAGTGACAAATGAGGTGTCATTGTACTCGTAATGTAGTTTTCTATTGAAATAAGGTTAAAAATACCTGGCTTCTCATTTAACATAAGAAACAGTGGCGTATCTACCGGTGTGCCATGTGTGCGAAGCACACAGGCCCGTCTCCGAAAGGGGCCCGTGAGCTCCATATCGAAACCGCAAAAAAATGTTTCAAAAGATAAAAGACCTAATAGTTATTTATGCACCTAGGTCAAAAAGTACAGCTTTAACGCCCGCAGCGTGTGTAACAGCCTGAGGCGTACTTTGTAGAAGAAACTCTCCTGGCCTGGCATATACATTAATATGAAAAATGCAAAAAAAATAAGCCATTCACCCTATGGAGCTTTTACTCAATGTTGAAGGCAACAGTTCTTTTGTGTATTTCTGTGGAAAAGGGCCGGTTTTAAAAGTTAAAAACTACAAAAATTGTATTTTCAATTTCAGAGTAGATTGAATTTTACCATTATTGCTTATTTCATTATTCTTATTAATTGAAATAAAGCTTTTTTTGTTGAAAAAAGTTGGTATTTTTTGGACTAAGCAATAGAAATACAAAAAGTTTTTAAAAAAATGACGAATTTTTGTTTTTTTTTGAAACTTTCAGGCCCGCGGGCATAAAAGGCGCCCTAGGGCGTAAAAGTACTACTTCACGCTTAAAAATGCGGGCGTAAAAGTGCACTTTTACGCCCGTTCGTGCATAATAGCTATTTATGTACCAAGGGGATTATGTAGATTATAATGCCCGAAGGCGAAACTAGCCCGAGGGCCTATGGCCCGAGGGATATATTTCGCCTGAAGGGCATTATAATTTTGAAATCCCCGTGGTGCATACAATGCTTTATTTTCTACTCAACACAATGTTTTTTCATCAATTTCTTATTAACAAAATCAGTTAAAATTGTGTGACAGAATATTGTTTTGTATTTTGACATGTACCTGCACCTGACCTGTACCTGTACCTGCGACCTGTACATAGAAACGAAATAAATTAATATATCTATAAACATCTCATAAGGCAAGGCAACGGTGGTGGTCCTGTGGGTTAACGCGCTGGACTACATGGGGAAACATTGATGGTAGACCGGGTTCGAATCCTGGCTAGACCGAAAATTATTTTCGGTCAGACATTTAGTGGCTGCCTAGGGTAAAGTCAAAATAATAGAACAACAACAACAAAAACACCTTAAGGTATTATAAGCGGGCGTTATAGATCATAACGCCCGCAAAAGCGGGCGTTATGGATCAGGTTGTTATAGGTGTGTTAACGTATTTCGTTTCCTAGGTATTATGGATCTATATTAGTAAAGTAGAAAATAAAATTATCATTTGTCTTTCTATTTTTTTGCTTACATATAATAATGATTAATGTATGGGCAATAGTCTATCTACGCGCAAAAAAATACCGGCAGCGGTATAATATTTTTATTCTGATTTGAAACACTGTATTATACAAGGATGTTTCAGCATCACGTTGCTCTTCTTCTATTAATTTCATAGAAAATCTACTGTAAGTTTCCCTCCTGCCCTCCTGTATGTACCGGTTGATTGTCTATATTTTGTACCCACACCTATCTCACCTGTTTGAAGAAATACCCAGAAATGTCAAATGTGAAAGTTGTAGGTGATATCAGAAAGTTTTCAATGAAGTTAGTTAAAAGTATGTACAGTCACAAAAGTGTGGCACAGCAAAGTTGAACTTTTTCAAATGGAACACCCCCATTTATTATTGAGCCATTGGATTAGCTTTTCAAGCCTGATTCCAAATATACTAGGTTTTTCAGGTTTATTCCTAATAGTCCGGGAGAAAATAAGAAAAAAAGGGGCGAAATAATTGCATTTTTATTGAGACCACCAGCAAAATATAAAGGTAGGTAATCATTCAATTAAAAATCCATATCATTTCTTCAAAATGGGAAATTCAAAGGCTGGACTATGAGGAATAAACCTTAAAACCCTAGTATATTTAGAATCAGGTTTGAAAGGGTAATCCGATAGGTCAATAATATACGGGGTGTTCCATTTAAAAAAGTATAACTTTGCTTCGCCACACTTTCGTAATACACCCTGTATACTTGTAACTAACTTTAATTGCAAAGTTTCTGATATTACCTAGAACTTTAACATTTGACATTTCTTGGTATCTCTTCAAACAGGTGAGATAGGTATGGTGAGATAGGTATGGGTGCAAAATATAGACAATCACCCGGTATGAAACATAAGTAGCGACAAAATATCGCTACAGTTGCCCAAATTAATAATTTAAGTCGGCACGTGCCTATAGGTTTAATTATTGGGGTGGGCAACTTATGTTTTCCCGGGAACGATGTAGGTGCAACTGTTGACTAGACTACGCGATTTCTATAACCAGTGTCATTCCAATTTATATATTATTTGCTATTTTATTCCACGTATTATTTAGTTGTGTTGTTTGATATTGATTATCACCATTTAAATAAATAAAATTTATGTGACGCCCATGCCCTTTTCTTGTTTGATGTATGCCGACTAGAGGTTTTTCAAGTGTTTCAAGTCGGATTAAAAGTACTATACATAGTTATTCATACCAATTTTGAAAATAATGAATTCACAATTTAACGTTTAAGGAAAAATATACCTAAAAAAAAATGTAGGAGTGTTTTTTGAACGACTTTTGGGTCAAAATTTTGGCGTGGCACCCAAAAAGAAGACTTCTAATGGGTCCGCAAAGATTTTGGCACACAGGTCCGGAGCTGGGTTGATACGCCACTGATAAGAAAGTTACGCTCACTTCCGGTCAAACCGGAAGTGATAATAAATAATTGAATGCGTCAAATAATGCACATCCTAGTCATAAATAAACACATCACATTGCATTTGTTTATTTGGAAAAATAAAAAAGTTATAGGGGTGAGCGGGTTTTGAAAAACAGCCGGTATAGATATACTGAGCATGTGCGACGTCACAACTCACAACGTATTATACCTAAGTTATGACGTCGGAAGGACATTTCAAAGCGTTGTATCTCCGTCAATTTTTGACTAACAAGAAAAAGAAAAAACAAGTGTTGACTTATTTTTCATGGACTATCGAAATCAGCAATAAAAAAATTTGATGCAAGGGGCCTATTGCAATTTCTCGGGTTTTTTAACTGGAAAGAGTTATTTGGCAATACTGTCTATGTGCGAAGATGCGACGAACCTGGATAGGGTTGAACTTCGAAATGGGATAAGAGATAAAACGCGCGAAAAGTCCACGCTAAAACCCATTTTTTGCCCTTCTTTTTTTTCTAAATCGAAATTGAAAAGTCTGGCTCCGTTAGGTTTTAACCAGTATCCCAAAGAAAAACTATTTCAAATTTGAGAATTCTAGCTCAAGTAATAACGTCAGCATGGCGTGGAAAGACATATAAACTCCATTAGCAAATTATTATTTATGTAGATATATACTTTGTTACGTTATTATACAAGCCCTATTTCATTAATCCGATTGATTCGGAAAATGCAACTCCATAATATATTCTTTTTTCCTGTTGATAGTGCGTCGCATAAAAGTTGTTAACTTAGGCCCGGTTTATTCATCTACAGATGAACTTCCTGGGAACTATCTGCAAGATAACTTTACGGTTCTATTATTCTATTGGTCGATGGATAACTTGCTGATCAATGGGATTACAGATTTCGTGTTTATCCGTCAGACTGCATACCTGACACTTTATAAGAAGGTGAATAAACCGTCCCCTAAACAAATGTTTTGGGTCTCCTTTTAGGAAGGTTGTTTTTCCGTCCGTAAGTAATGATAAATTCTTCCAAGATCTGGTTACGCTTTTTAACTTATTAAAATGTTTGATTGTGCTCATTCAATTAAATGGAACTGTTAAGTTAAATAGTAGGAAAACATAACATAACAATAAAAATTAACTTTAATGTTCACATGCCTAGGAGAGCCAAGAGCATGCTAAATATGCACTAGCTCAGATTAGAATAAAAAAAGGTCTTCCATGATAGATACCAAAGTCTATAATACTCTAGCGAGCCAATATAAACATTTTTATAATAAGATCTACCTAATTTCAAAAAAGTTTACGCTAAATGTCAGAAAAACACATAAAAGTTAACATGTTATCCATTATAGAAGAAGAATATTTATTGTTGAAGTTATGTGTTGAAAAAAAAATTTGTTTCCTTTCAGGAAAACGTATTCAAGAATGCATCTGCGTAGGCATCTGTCTAACACTGATGGCTGTGAATTTCGTGTTTATCTTGTTCCACATACAAATCGAAAGACTGAGCGCCATCTTGATGGCAGCATTTTTTGGCATTTTAACAGCTGACTTTTGTTCAGGATTGGTGCACTGGGCCGCAGACACCTGGGGCTCTGTCGAACTACCAATCATAGGAAAGGTAAGCAATAAATTGTCTCTATTTTTTCGTGAACTTTATTTTTAAGTGGCAGCGCACAACCTCTGTATTTGTAATCAGTCCGCTGCAATTCGGCTGGATTATGAGTTAGTGACCTTTTGCCTTGCGGTATTTATTGTGCCATGATACCGCAGATCCAGAGGTCGAATCGTTTAATTTGAATTAGGCAGGGTCATGGATCACGTACTCAAATTTATGAAAGAAATTATTAGTTTTTTCAACGAATTTTTATAGTTATTTATTGTATAAGTGTTTTAGGAAGCATTTTATCCACGCAAGAATGTTTAAACGCGAGAACGAAGTTCGAGCGTTTAATTTTCTTAAGTGAATAAAATGCAACTAAAACACGAATGTAATACAACGTTTTATCCACAATCACACGTACATATACATGGCGGATGGAAAAGCTCCTCTGTTGCTGAAAGTTATATCGAGGATTCCATTTCCAATAAGCTTAGTATTGCAAACAAAATTCAAGGGGAAAATGTCCCTTACAAGAGGAGACACCTTATATTTCTGTTCCTGGTAATTCTACCAAAGCCCATCATCATGGAAGTCTGCCGCAGTACAACCCATTCCAAAGAAAGGAAAAAAGACAGATCCGTTAAACTATAGACCAATTGCTCTACTTCCGGTGAAATCAAAAGTAATGCAAAGAGTTGTGAACAATCACCTAACCAAGTACTTGGAAAAGTACAAAATTATCAACGATAAGCAATACGGATTTCGAAAATATAGGTCAACTGGCGATTTACTTACATACGTCACTCACTTATGGCAAAAAGCGATTGAGTTGCGGGATGAAACAAGAACAATTGCCTTAGATATATCTAAAGCATTCGACAAAGTTTGGCATGAAAATCTGCTCAACAAGCTCAAAGCAATGGGATTATCGCCGAAACTTTGCACTTGGTTTGAAAGTTACCTAAAGGACAGATCCATTTATGTTGCACTGGATGGCCAGAACTCCAACTCTTACCAAATAAATGCTGGTGTGCCACAGGGAGCAATCCTTTCGCCAACTCTTTTCCTGATTTACATAAATGACCTCATAGATAAAACAGTAAATCCACTTTATTGCTTTGCAGACGATGGCAATCTAGTCTCCTCACTCATACCACCCACAGGTCTCTCCGCACGTGAATTCCATCATCTTAGACTAACTCAAATATCGCAGATAAATAACGACCTGGATATAATAGAGGACTGGGGTAACAAAAACCTTGTACAGTTCAACGCGCAGAAAACTCAAGCAGCTCTGTTTTCAAAAAAGACCAGCACCGGTGAGCCAAACATCATGCTATCTGGAAGTGCTGTCACATTACAGAGTCAGTTGAACATCTTGGGGGTTACTGCAGAGACCAACATGTCTTGGCACAGTCACGTGGCAGATATTGCTAAAAAGGCGTCCCAAAAGCTGGGGGTGTTATTTCGTACAAGACATCTGTACACACCAAGCCAATTGCTGACACTCTACAAAGCCCAGATTCGACCAACTATGGAGTACTGCTCACATATATGGAGTGCAGCACCCAAACATACCTTAATGCTTTTGAACACCGTGCAAAAACGAGCTATCAAGCTGATCAATGACCCCGCACTTACTCGTAACTTGGATGGTCTCGAACATCGCAGATCTGTGGGCGATTTATCTCTCTTCTACAGGTACTATCACGGAAAATGCTCTGAAGAGTTGGCACGTATGATTCCACCGAGAGTAGCGCCTACCAGGAGAACCCGTCAAACAGACGGTAACCATGAATTTACTGTCAAACTAGAGGCATCAAGAACCTCATTATATCAGAATTCATATCACCCATAAACGTGCGTTCCCAAGCTGATGGAAATTATCACCTTTTTACCAACAATAATGAAGTTATAGGAGACAAATCGAACAACGGAGTATCTATTAATATAAATGTTGATGTTTATATCAATAAATAAAATAAAAATTTCGTATTTCTTGATTTCATTATTCCACTAGTGAAATAATAGTTATTCACATTACAAGTGCGTTTAAGAACATGATTACAATAACGATTGTGAAAGATTAAAACGACGAGGTCGTAGACCGAGTCGTTCTAATCACATGAGTTTTGTAGTCATGTTTAAACGCACGCGTGATGTACAACGTTTTATCTATAAAGCGAAAAACAGGGATGTTTTTTTAATTATTTTCGTTTATTAGTAGTTGTCTACCTTCATTTTACCTTTACAGGTTTACCTTTGACATTTGTCAAATCACCAATAATCGTTGTGTTATAGATTCATAACCTCGTCCATAACACCACTAGTTGTGTTATGAATTCATAACCTAGTCTATAACACCACTCAAATACTAGAAAAATAGTTATGTAAAAACGTCATAACCAAACGCTTGTAGATAAAGTTATTTTATTCCACTAGTGGATAAAGTATCAATTTAGACGCTTCATATGAGTGGATAAAACTGCCATTATTTGATGATTGTGGATAAAATTAATTTATTGTGAGATGAAATCAAAGGAATAGAATTTTGAATTTGCGATAATTATCTGGTTGGTGATTATAAGAATAGATAGTTATTTTTGATTAACTATTTTTGAGATGTGAAAATTTGTCTCAATGGGCATTTTAATATTTGTTGAAAATTTTCGGATTAATCTTTTTCGAACTTATACAATGGTACCAATATCTCGTTTTTTTTGTTTTCAAATAGTGCCCTTTTGCATGGTTTAATTTTGGATTATGTTCGATTTTAGAATTTCCAACATATAAGTTTTCAATAAAATAATAATTAAGCTTGTGAGACTAAAGTCCCCTACAGAAAACATAATTTGAATTGACTGGAACTCTACTATAGTTAAACACCTTATTATTCGTAGAATTCTGCTGTAACGTGGGTGTAAGGGCTTCAAAAAGTTATAAAGCCAATAAAAGATGTTAAATATCCGATAACCACGCAAGGCACCTATGTCCATAATAGGTATGCGAACTTTTCCTGGAGTATTATGATGCCCTTTTGTGCAAGTTGATCACGAAATGTCCGTTTTACTATAGGCAGGTGGAGACTTTTTTACCTACATATAATTATTTATGATAGGAGCTTTGCCTACAGGCACAAAACTTGGTTTGGTTTTCTTTGCTTTCCTAGCCACACTGATGAAATCTGATAGATCGAAACGCGTCTGTTATTAACTGTGTATAATTAACCCACATTTTCACATAATTATTCATAATTATTTGAAACCATACGAAGTGCGACGTTTCGGAATCTGGAAACACCATATGGGGCGTCTCTAGGCCCTAGGGCTAACCCCCAAATACGAATTCACAACCTTGGTGACTATGATATGCTATGAACAAGTTTGGATATGGAGAAAAACAGAAAAATAGATACGTAACGAGGGAAACCAACTATTTAAAATATTATTTCTTCGAATTTTAACTTCTTAAAACGTCTACTATAGGAAAGAAAATGGTAAATGTTGCAACCATATCTACGCTGTCAAGTAGGGGCGAACGAAGACGCCGCGCCACACGAAAAGGTACCGAAGGGTAGGTAGAAAATGAGAGACTAGAGAACAAGCTCGTCTGCCATTGTTCATTATTCAATTTTTATTTTGTAATAGACTGATTGTTCAATCCAATTTGTGATTAGTTTGTGTGTCATAAGGAGCATTCACAGGTCAGTTGAAAAATTGTTATTTTGTTTTTGTGAGTTCAATTTATGTATGTATTGTTTGTTTATACTATATTTTATAACATGCGCATTGTTCATGTTCACAAAAATCGTTTCATGCTGTGAAAAACGCACATAAAGAGTAAATTAAAACCTAGAAAAATTATGTGCTGTCTTTTGAACTGAAATTTTAATTTTGGTTATTCAGAGCGTGCATTAGGGCCTTGTTAAATCTACTAACACTTTCCTACCCTGACGAGCGATATCCTAGCAAGCAAATTAAAAAATCAGTCTAGAGATATTGGCTCAAAACAACAACTATAGCTGAGTACCTAGCCTCCCGTACGGGACCTCAGTACCTGCTGGTGAAGCTGGCTAACTAACCAAAAACTCTTCAGTATTGTATATAGGTAGTGTTGATTGAATTTAGTGTGTGAAATTGAAATTTTAGCACAAGAACAGGGACGATACCTAATTTAAACTTTTATTGAATTATTGACTCACAATTAATTATTAAAATGAAATGTTTGGATTTTTGAGGAATGTTATGTTAGATCGAGGGTTTCTCTGCCCTCGTGAGTTCCAGGTCGAGAACGGTACGATTTTCTCTAATAATAAATTAGAAGCACGTTTCACAAATTTTTCGTTTACTTTACATATCATAGCTTCCCTTAAATTTCCCTAGTTTTGCTATTGTTGAGCGCTTGTCAAGTAAGTAAAATTGAGTAGGTTTCCACAACGTAGGTCCTATTTGTTTTCCATTTCGTTTTTCAGAAGATTTGTTAAAAGAAGAGGTAATGAAAATTCACACCGTTCAATCTTATACTACAGTAGGTATATCAGCTGAGCACTGACACGTATCTATGAAACTTAGTAGGTAGAGGAGCAGTTAACAAAACCAGAGGAGATCGTGAAAGTATCAAATTGAGTCAGGGAAGATGTGAGAGAGTACAACCCAGATGCAAATACGAGAGGAGACTCAAAGTACTGGAAAACAAACCTAAACTGCAATACAAAGATTATCAGCATATAATATAAAATGAAGAACGGATACGAAAACACAACTACAAATGAGGACAACATATAGTGGCCATGGTTCAAAATTTCCATGAAGAACTGTTTGATATCAGGAGCAAAACAGTAAAATAGGTGAACTTTCTATATATACTGGTTGTCGATAGGAATGAAAACGGTCGGAATCACTAGACATTTGCCAGTTAACCGTTTCCGCTGGACTACAGTTTTTTTTTTTTTGCACGAAATCCCGTGTGTTTTGTAATTGCAATGTGTTCCGCGTGTTACTAGGCCCTCAATTCAAATG